TATATATATATATATATATATATATATATATATATATATATATATATGAGGCATTTCACGCCAATTCGCGAGAGGTCAAACCTCGACCTTTTTATTTTGGATAGTGGCTCGTTTTTTAGCAGGTCTTTACGAGTACTATACCCATGTAAGAGCGTTTCTATAATAAATGTAGCGTTTCCGAAATAGAGCCTGCGAGGACTGCAAGATCTTCAATGAATTTTTTTACTTATTAGACAACGTCTAAGAAAAAAATTCATTCAACATTAAATATGCTATTTCGATCATATTAAAAAAAAAATTACTTAAATTTTTTATAATAATATTGTTAAACAAATACAGTAAAAAGACACAAAAAAATTTGATTATCTAAAAAACCCCATTTTCAATTTTTTGAAATTTATAAAGAATATTCTGGGGAGTATTAGAAAAATTTTAAGATTGGTCCGAAGTTGCGCAGAAAATTTGGAAATTTTTTATAGTTTTTTTTGTAAGGCAGACAGAGGTACCATGCACGGAAAGAATTTTCTCTTAAAATTTACCCTGAAATTATGGTAGTTGTGGAACATGTACCACCAAAAATTTTATGCGAGCTATTCTGATTAATATCTACCATAATTTAAAAACCTTTTACTCTTTTGTTTGTCTTTAATATGACTATATATATTATAACTCATTGATTGCTATTTAATATGTATTTGATACTTATTAATTCTTTTCTAACTATATATGGATATGAAAATTATACGCGTCTATTAAAAAAATGTTATTTTATTGTATTTATTGACAAAACTATTCTCTTATCTACATTTATAATTTATTTTATTTATGCGGCACTGAATAGGGTCTGAACCAAAGATCAAAACTTATGTCATTTGTAATTTATTTTTCGCTTCACCACCGGCGTTTGCTCTCATTTGCCTTTTATTTTTTTTGTATTTATTAAGTTAAATGTATATTTTGAGAGCTTATCTTGTTGTTTTTTTGGATATAGAAAATGTTACTTTTTCTTGCAATTATTTGGAAAAATATCTGTTTTTACAATATCGAAGACAACATCACGTATTTTAATGAAATACATTTGATGTTATTGATTCACAAATTTATATGTAATAATAAAACGAACAATTTTCCTCTCTATATACGCGGTTGTTACAAAAGAAAATACTGTTCCGTAAGCAAAATATTGCATGAGTTAATAATACGCCATATAAAATGTTATTCAGTATTATTAACAAATATGATGCATGGTTTCAAAAGTGGAAATAGACGATGTTTGGCATTACCTTTCAATATTCCAGCGATCGCGACACAATTCTTCATTTGATCGCGTTCAAGTAAGCTTCTCTGTAAGCGGGGTTCGATGCACAATGTCGAGCATAGTGAATTGGAAACATTCGCGCCAGGAAAACCACGCAGTTTACGTGGTTTTCCTGACACGCACGTTTATTACGTGCGAAGTTGTATTTAAAGCACGCGAACTATTCTATTTGAGGAGTTCGACGTGACATATGCGGTCGCGCTGTTAAACGAAATGTGATATTTATTGAAGCTTCACTTGAGAGTACTTTAGCAATCGGTCTTACTTCGCGGGCAATATCTCAGGTATACGTTTTGTACGTTTTGCATGGATGTACGGATGTTGGTGCACACGCGCAAGTAAAGCATGCAAAACTGCAACATGGGAACAGTCGATTTCATTTTTACGCCATTTTCGTTCCTTGTAATATGTAATAAAGATCAAGTAGAAAGGTATAAAATAATAATTCGTATAAGAGCGCTAATTAAACGCTTGGAATTTTGGTGGCTGCAGAATGGAAAATTATTGAAGGTTTTTTTGAATAAAATCTGTGATTAAAAGCTTTTCCTCCTGATATAAATTATTTCTTCAATGAGTTCAAGATTGAAAATTTTTCGCATTGTTATACGTTTCTGAATTCATGGTCCAAAAGGAAACTGGAGTTGAATGCGACACACATAGTGATTTCAAGATATTTATTACATATAATCTAAATGTAATATTTTTAGTTCCCTCAATCTCGGTTTTATTTTTTTTTTCTCTTTAGCATTTAGTTCTGTTTTCGTATAAAAGTTAATTGAAATTTACGGACAATTTAATCATGATCGTCCGCGGAATAAATTTCTTCTCTTCGAAGTGTACTTTCGACGTTAATATTGCAAATATGTTTCTGTTTGATTGTCTTTCAGAAATTATGCGCGTAAACATATGCGCGTGACCGCGGTACGTTTTAGCGGTTGCATCTCGCTGCGTTTATGACGAATCGAACGGCATACATCGATTATCGATCGGAAGACAATCATTAGTTCGTCTGCGTGCGAAACGCGATACGTTTACCATTTAAGGTAGTGCCGTCAGGAACTTGGTCCCCATCAGATACGTCGCGCGTCGAGCTAAAGCTGAAGTTTCGTTAAAGGGACCGTTTATCGTGCTGGTGGGCGAAACAAATAATTCCCTTTCTCAGGAACACAATTGCCGCTGATCTTTATTGATAGCGCCCTTCTCTCTATAGGGGTGAATCTATAAAGAGTACCTCTGGCACAAAGCCTTCCTTTAGCATTTGTAAATGGGATTTTATTGCAGCTGACAATTGGACATTTACGTCAAATTCACTTCTACAAGATTTCTCGGTTTCAGAAAATTAAACGAAATAAATTTAGCGTTTTATGTATTTCTTTCAATATTTCCCAATTAATTTTTTTAAATAACATTTTTCAACAATCATACATTTTTCTATATCTACACTATCGTTCAAAAGTTTGGAAGCACTACTTTTTTAAGAAAAACAAAACAGTGATGCTAATACTTCCAAAGAAAAATGTCAAATCATGACTTGAGTAAAATATAATAATAATTATTTTTATATTTATTATATTTTACTCAAACTATAAAAACTTGTTCTCTTTTTATAACAGAACAATGGCATAGTATTCACTAGGTAAAATTTTTTAAATAAAATACTTTGCTTGGAAAATGATTAGAAACAAATATTACTGTGTTGAATAATTAAAACAGATAGTAAAGTTTCTTATTGGTCAAAGCAAAGGAGTTTGTTAATTTCTTATATGATATTTTTCTTTGGAAGTATTAGCACCACTGTTTTTTTTCCAAAAAAGTATAGTGCTTCCAAACTTTTAAACGGTAATATAAGTCTTGGTAAGCTTTTGCAACAAATCCTCCAAATAATAATAAGATGAATGATCTTATTCTTAAAAGATAAGATTTGTAAAAGTTTATACGAGCGTCTTTGATCAAACAGAAGCAAAATATTAAGCTCATTGCGAACTGACGATTTTTGCTTTTTTCAGCGACGACAAATCGCGCTAGGATGAGAACAAGAAAACTCAAACGAAACAATTCGTGTGGCTACTTGGACAGTAGCAGGAAGCTCGGTGAAAGCTCTATCGCGCGTAAAACTTAGAGTCGCCGTATGTCTTACTTTTCATTAAGCGGTTCCACAACTCTCTACATACCTGTCATGCGTCTACGTTCCTTTCGAAATAAAAAGTCCAATTTTATATAAGAAGTGTGCAAGGAGTTACGACAAACGTAAATTAAAAAATAAATTCTTTTACTCGGCTCCATTCTTTTGATTATGTGTGCGTGTAATGCGTTACCGTGCATTATCTTTTAAAATGTGGCAACCCTAGTAAGACGTAAAGCCGCGTTGTGATAACGAGTATACGAGTTCGCGAGTACGATACATAATTTTCAACGAAAATGGTCCTCGACAATCTCACCGTGATGCCGGTCATCGACGAGTTAGTGGACGACGTCCAGTCGAATAACACCAATATGACGGATTTTCCTGATTACGACATCAACGATTCCTTCAATCTTTTCGATTGGACGGAACTGGCGCCTGTTGTGGTAATCTACACCTTGACTTTCTTCCTCGGATTAATTGGTAAGTTTAATCGAGACTTTTAGATACAAACATGATCTCCAGTTTTTGTCAAAATGGAGTTAAGGGATGTTCTGCCTATACAATCCTTGCCAAATAGCTTTATTCAATAAAAAATTACTAAAATAAAGACTTTGCATGTATGTCAAACAACTTAAAATTTTTTATATGTTAGAAAGGATTACCGTTAACAGTTTGAGTATGATTTTTTGTCATTTAAATAATTAGTATTGTTTAAACAATTAAAAAGTAAAAAAATTTAAGCAAAAAGTTTTAAAACTTAAAATACAATATTAATGATGTATGTTTTACATATAAAAAAAGCTTAAGAAATATCTAACTGTTTTTATTTATATTTACCGCAAAAATGTCGATTCTCCATATTAAGGGATTATGTTAATTTCATCAACTTTAAACTTAAATAACTCTTATAAATTGTTTAGTAAATCACTTACAGTGAATTTTTAATTTAATTTAAAAGAAACATCTGAAAATTTCAGCCATTTTTGAATATATTTGAAATACCTCCAATACATCCTTAAAGTCGTTATAACTCAGTAACCGTTTAGTGGATTTGTTTCAACTTTTTTGCAGCACATCAGAAAGACTAAAAGAACAATCTCACAAATTTTTATCGATTTCTCACTGTTTTTTAAGATATAAGTAGAACATCCTTAATACATTTTTTAATATAACAATTTAAATTGTATAATGCTAAAGTGTCTTATGTCTATTATATACTAATTTCTAAGATACATGGCAATGTTTAGAAAAAGTCGTATTGAAAATTTTTATCAAAACTAATATATTTCTTTCGACAACAAATTGGCAATCCATACATATAGTTACACGACGTTTCGACCCAGGCTTCGGGTCCTTATTAAGTGGTCTAACAAAAATATAGCATGAGGTCAATAACATTGTCAACATTTAAAAACGAGTAACAGAAATTAATATCTATTTAGTCCGTGTAGAATTAAAAGAGCGAAATAAAAATTCGAAATACCTGATGAGGGAAAGAGAACCATCGCCGACACACTCTCAGTCTAGTGCTCATGAAATTTTGACCGAAACACCATATGCGCAAGGCTAGAGATTTATAAAGAATAAGTATGATGTCTCAGTAAAAAAGTAAAAAGTAAAAAGGAGTGGTTCTTTACACAGAGAATGTCCAGCGACGGCACCATTTCATATCGGGAAGTCAAGTACAGACTGACGGATATCGTATATGTTTCAAAATAGAGGAAACAATCGAAGGTTGTCACACGACCGCGGAATACAAACTTTTATATGCTCGAGATAACGTTATCGTAAATGGGATTTAAGTTCTCAGTGTCAGTTTGGAGATTAATGGTATCTGGATATTTTTTTATTAGAAGCATTTCCGCGATTTCTCTTTTTTTTGTGTTTTTTTCCCTGGTGTAATATATATCTCAACCTCGGACCGTTTAAAATCATGGCCAAGGGAGACGCGGTGTTTGGTGACAACGGAATGCTTACAATCGTCTTTCTTTATGTCGTTAAAGTGTTCTTTAACGCGCGTCTGTAGGTAACGTTTTGTTTGTCCGATGTAGAATGCGCTACAGTCATTACAATTAATTCGGTAAACTAGTTCGGTAGAATGATTTTTATCAAGACGGTCCTTTCCCCTTTTAATAATAACATTTAATTTTTTTTGGGACCGTGTAGACAGTATCAAAACTTATATTATTAAGTGTGAGACGCATATCTTCGCCAAGACCTTTAACGTACGGTAGTACGACACATCTCCGTGGATCGAATAGATTTTCAGGTGTGCTATCAGTATCACGCTTATGCCGAAGGTGTTTAATTCTACTTTTGGTATGTTTATTAATGAGGTCGATTGGAAATGAATTGTTCAATAATATTTTTTTAACAATATTAATGTTCGATTCATGGAAACGCTCATCTGACAGTAAAATGGCTCGATCAAGAAGACTCGTGATAGTATTGACCCTATATCTTAACGGGTGGCTAGAGAAGTAATTTATATAACGGCCAGAAAACGTGGGTTTCATATACCAATTTGTAATCAACCAACTTCCATCTCTGATGACCGTAGTGTCCAGAAACGGAAGAGAATTGTTACTTTCCAATTCGAAGGTGAAGTTCAATCGTGGGTGGTAGCTATTAAAAACCTTGAGTATGTCGTTTAATTTTGACCTAGGTATAATGGCAAAGATATCGTCTAATGGCGAAGATATCTACAAAAGAACTGAATTTCTGAATCCAGCGCACTAAGGCAATAGGTTTCAAGATCTTCCATAACAATGTCAGCAGTTTTAGGGGAAAATGGAGAACCCATGGGACTGCCAAAAATTTGTTCATAAAATTGCTCATTAAAACAAAAACTTTTAGAGCTTAATATCAAATCGACTGCGTGTAGAAATTGAAGCAAAGAGAATTTTGTGTGTGGACTCCACACTGTGGAGAAATAAAGTGCCATTGTTTCTCGATTTCTTTTAAAACTAATTCCTTCGGGATGTTGGTGAAAAGTGAGATAACATCAAAGGAAACGAGGACTTGGTCAGTATTAATTTTACTGAGACATCATACTTATTCTTTATAAATCTCTAGCCTTGCGCATATGGTGTTTCAGTCAAAATTTCATGAGCACTAGACTGAGAGTGTGTCGGCGATGGTTCTCTTTCCCTCATCAGGTATTTCGAATTTTTATTTTGCTCTTTTAATTCTACACGGACTAAATAGATATTAATTTCTGTTACTCGTTTTTAAATGTTGACAATGTTATTGACCTCAATATATTTTTGTTAGATCACTTAATAAGGACCCGAAGCCTGGGTCGAAACGTCGTGTAACTATATGTATGGATTGCCAATTTGTTGTCGAAAAAAATATATTTAGTTTTGGTTTAATATTATTGGTGGAATAAACACTTACTTTGTGAAACTTTTTATAGTGTCTAATTTTTTAACCAGGTACAGCGTGTTATTAGCAGTTCTACTATTAAACATGCCAGTTAAATTACTTTATTAAAAACTTAATAAATCAAGGCGCTACTTTTATTTTATATCTAAACAAGTAGAAACTTGTACATTGCTTTCTCATAGTTTTTAAGTGTGCAAGTAGAAACTTGTTTAAGTGAGCAAGTAGAAACCTGCACAATGCTTCCTCTATGAGGAAGCCTGTTTTTTTATGCATAATTATTAGTAGATATTTATTAATTTGGCTTTTTAGTACTTTATTAAATTTCGAGGTCTAGCAGCGCCAAGTTTTTTTTTACAAGAATTATATGAATATTAATATAATATAGCTTCTTGTCGCGTTTATTCGATATAATGTAATCTGAGGTACAATGTACATAGAAACTGTACTATCGTGAATTGTATAACTTTAACGTAGTACAGCAGACGCGCGCGCCGTTTACTTTCAAAGCGCAGATTAACTTTTACTACACAATAGAGATTCAAGCAAGCTGCGGGTTCATTTAATATCTCTATTTTAACAAGCTCTCTAACAATTTTCCCTAATCTAGCTCTAAAAAGTTAAAAACTTAGCTCTAAAGTTTTGTCTGGTATAATTAATCTTAGACTACCAATCAAATAATTTCCAAACTATTAATACTTTATAGTGATCCGTGCAAAAAATCCGAATGAGATATTACTATAGTATTTAATACAATTTAATCATAATTTCCGTAGCATTAAAATTTTGCAAAAAGATTTATAATAAAACACTACAGAATTTGCGTGAAACGATATAAGTTCCTGATTAAATACGTTTTAGTGACGTATATTGTATATTACACGTGTATATTACATTTTATTCATTCTTCTGAAGTTAAATTGTTAAAATTAAAATGTTTTGGTGAATTTAATGATAATTTTGAATCATACTGAATACGTTGAAACGTTAATTGTCGCGAGTCAGTTATCGTCATTAAGTTTTACTATAAGATAGTTATGATTATATTATGTTGTTTTTGACTTACAATCAATTGTTTTTCTGAATGATTCAGCAGACGCTGTGTGAATCAGTATCGATTTTTGACTATTATTATTGCGCTCTTATTAACTTATTTTTACAGGAGAAAGTATGTAAAAGAATCACGCCTCGCGATTAAAACATTTTTATTTTGCTAATTACGCAATAAATCGCATAGAAAAGAAAAGAATTATTGAAAGACGTAGTACGTACGTTCTGAGAAAAATACAAGACTGCTTTACAATTTCGTTGTATAAACATCGACGTAACATGCTACGCTTTACATTAAACCGCACCCGTAATTACGGTGAGAATTCGAAAAAATTCAGAAAACAAAGTTTTTGCAGAGTAAATTTATTTTTAGTAAATCACGATTGCGGAGACAAAAAAATCGTCGTGTACTGCGCGGTGAAACGATCCAGTTTCTTAAAATTGCTAATTGGATGGTAAATATCTCATTAATAAGGACAGAGTAATATCGTAATTCATCATCTTAAAGAGACGAATTAGACGGCGGCAGTGAATCGAGTATTTGCGAACGTCGAATCCTGTTTCTTGCACGGAAACCGCTAGGAGAAACGTCGCTTTGTAAAGTGCAGCAGAGCCTAATATGCTCTTAATTACGCGGCGTCGTGTTATGGTACAAGTTACCAGTATAACCACTTCCGAACGCGCGCGCGCAGCTGTAGGTACTCCGAATTATCCTTCATTAATCCATGCGACCGAACACAGTTTCCCCAGCAAGGCGCGGCAATTGTTTCGTTTGACGTATGACGATTATTATATACGATTAATAATTGTTGACAACAAGTGAGATTTGAGGTATGCGAGAATTCATGAAATGCGGTCAATTGGCAGGCCATGCTTCGGATTTCTGCAATAACGCTATTATAATTTGAAAATAAGAGGCGAGACAGATTTGGTAAAATTTTTCTGAACGTGATCAGTTAATTATAGCATTGACGTTTCGCTTTATTAAATAAATGATTAAATAAACAATACACGCGTTAAAAATATATAAATATCTTTTTGACGACAAGATATAAGATGTAGTTAATTGTTTATATACATGAAAAATTAATCCCGTTAAGATATCTATTTAAAGTTGATTATTATCCGCAGTGTAGCGCAATTAGCTTTCACAAAATATCCATCGTAAATAAATTCGCAACTATTATTCGTGCGAAATAATTATAAAATAATGCTCATCTGTGGTATTAAATCTACGGCAACTGTAAGTTATTGAACACAATCGTAATATTACTCGATTTTTTATTAGACAAGGAAGTTTATTAGAAACTTGAGATCTTTAATTCCTTCTTTGAAATGTTCCGTAATCGAAAGGTCTTCTCTTTGGAGAGGCTTCTGAGGAATATCGTTGGTTCTTTACGGTCAAAGAATTGTAATTTCTTTCAGGAAACGTCATTATCATCGGTTCAACCCTTTGTCGGCTTAGGCCGTTGCCGGCGACACCGACGAACGTCTTCCTGGGCGGCCTGGCCACGGCTGATCTTCTGTTAATTATATTCTGCATACCCGTGAAGGTAAATGATATAACATACGAGTAGAGGAGACCGGGGCGAAGTCGTCACTATTTTTTCGGTGCTGATTTTTATAACAACAAAACAAATAATTTTAAAAAATGTGGTATACCGCTGTAAAGAGTGAACCCTTGGCTACAAAATTTATAAGGGCATTTTTGGTCTACGTAGCTTTGTTTAACTGGTATAGAGTGAAAACGACAAAGGTGCAAAAATTGAAATGTCAAAATTGCCGGGGCGGAGTCGTCACTCCATTCTCCATTCTCGGACTGAATTTTAAATGGAAATTCATAATTCCGATCATGAAAAATGATAGGATACATTTTATTAATTATTTTTTAATAGAAAAATAGAAACATTAATTAAAAACACGATGGCGGAAAATAATTATAAGAAAAGCGCACACACTTGTGTGCCCTACGTTGGCACGGAATGCACTGTTTCTCGTCAGCTCTATTCTGTCATTTCTGAGCACACGCAGCACATATTATCCAAGTCCTCGCCGGAATCCGACCACTGGCTAGGTTTACACCCTGAATTTAGGCCGTGGCCTATACCTCAAATCTGACCTAAATTATTTAGGCCGCCTGCTGTAAACATTTGATAGACGGCCGAAACTAGCTTCAGATCAGACTTTAGGTTGAATTTGAGGTATAGGCCACGGCCTAAATGTCCCGGTGTACCTGTGCTCACTGCTGCTTCTTTGACTTTGATTTTTGCCCGAAGCCTCCATGATATGGCTTGGTGACGACTTCGCTCCGGACACAGATTTTAAGTTTGATCACTCATGAAATATTAGAAATCAACAAAAATAAAAAAATTTTTTTTACTGGATTCGTGTTCAGCATGCATTTTACGCTACAGAATCACTTATCTCGATATTTGGAGAGAAAATATTTAAAATTTTAAAAATTTTTGACGCGCAAAAAATTTTACTTCAGACCTCCGAAAACACGTTTGTCTTATTGTTAATGGAAATCACAACATGGCATATAATCTCACTAAACTCCGTTGGTCACATGGGCACCATAAGTAGTGTTTACAATATTAATGGCGAGTTCACACAACATACAGATTTCGAGATAATTGTAGTGACGACTCTGCCCCGGTCTCTCCTACATACATATATACATATATGTTAGACATGTGCGAATCAAGGATTTTTTATGTCGAATCGAAGCGAATCGAATTATTTCGAATCGAATCGTTGGAATATAATTTTTAATTAACAATATAATAATTATTAGATTAAATTTTAACGCGTGGATAATAGGAGAATATATTTTAATGTGGAAAAATAATATTTATTATATAATATAAATTCTTTTGAAGCTAAAAACATATTTAAATATTTAATATAAAACTAATAAAATATATTTTATTTTTAATGTTGCAGTAACTAAAACAATTAGACGAAAAATCACAGATAAATTATTAAAATGTATTAATAGCCAGTTATTTATTATCTAATAACATCCATATAAATTAAAATAAAATAATATAGTTTATTTTATTATCATTACTCATAGCTTACTATTTTTTGTATATATTTAAATTTTTATTTACAATTTGATAGGATCACAGAGCATGTCAAAAATTAGAAATAAACTTTTTGCTATTTCATCACTCACTCAGTGAGCGATTATGACAGATATAAAAGTGTTCACAAAAAATATTAATAATATTATTAAAACTTTCGAGATCCAGTCTTGATCGAAAATGACGTTCTTCTCTAATTGATTGTAAATCATCATTATTGCGTATAGAGAACACATATATGCGGTTCTCGATTGCGTGCGTGTGGTCCGCGTCTTATTTCTATCATTACTACAGACTGACTGCTTTTGTTTTAGTTCAACCACAGACCTGAATATTTTAGTGCGATCTATTATTATAATATTATATTTATTTATTTTATATGTTATATAAAAAATTGAGACAAATAGCGTCTCATCCTAGGACTTCTGAGCCGAAAATCGGGATGTCCCAAAAAATTTGCAACGGTTGGTTACCCTATTTGAACTCCCGATGTTAATCACACATGACGTGCACTTTAATTACTACCTTTTATGATGCAAGACTAACACAAAATATGTACGGCCGTGAAAAACTACGATTCGCCCGACACTCATGATCGTCTTGGAAATCATAGTAAAGTATGATATAGGAATCTCGAACGCGGCGAGATATGGCACACGATTTATCCCCATTCAAGCCTCACCTTGCGAAAATGATAACATAGCGACCTTCGATAAACACGTCGCATAAAAACAAATTCCGAGCGTGCCAGCCATTACAAAATATTTTTCTGAAATTTATCTGGCAAATTGCTACACCGAATATTATTTTCCTCGCATTCCCAATTAATTATTCGTAAAAAATCGACATATCGCACGACCCTTTATCGTTTAAATCACATGAAAAACGATCCGCGCTTTCAATTCGTGTACATCAAACCAATTCACGAAAAATCAAAAAATTGCGACAATGTATTAGTATCCAAATATTCTTATAAAGAAAAAATCTTTGATCGTGAATATCAAATCCACGAAAAATCCAAATCGCGACAGTATCAGTATCCAACCATCGTCATAAAGAATCCTCGCCCGCGAATATGACAAAGTAATTATTGGCAATTATCCTCCGCTTCTATCGTTTCAATTTCTATGTCGAGTAAATGACGCGTGACACCGTATCTCTTGATATATCGCGCGAAATATCTACGTTGATAACCAGCCTCGATAGGCTTACGAGCGTCGGGAATCGCGGGAGTCGAGAAGTCGTGCAAGAATAAACTAGGTAATTATAATAATCTCCAAAGAGAATGATGAGACGCTTTTTGCGTTTATTAGCATCTGTCGCACAATCGTAATTCTAACGAGCATTGAGGAAACACGACGCGGAGCGGCTCGTGCCGCTAATGCCGCTACTCGCTCAGTCAAGTGTCGGTGGTCCGCGGTCGTGTGATAGCGCGCCGACCTTGTGTACTCAGCGCGGCTCGCCAACCTTGTTTATGCAACGTGCTATACATTGTGAGACAAACGATGAATGTCGCGTGTTAGTCAAATATTTCCGTATAATATTTAATATATTAAATTTTATAAAATATTCGAGGCATTATAAAACCGTGTGCGTCAAATATTCTGATTCTCGCGTTACGAACTTAAACTATAGATGAAGAGACGATGCTAACAATTTTCGTTTTATTTTTATTGCATATACAACACAACTTGTTATTATATTATTCTGTCAGTATAGATTTTATTATTTTTGCTGGCGTTCTATCAAAATTCGTAATGGATACTTTGCGAAAGCTGTTTTCGTTTATCACAAATTTCGGTTGTCTATATATAGAATTAAAAATAGCTTACAATGTATCTTAGGTTTACATAATCCAATTAATAAAAAACTATCTTGCAATTTTAGCTTCTGTGTGCAATGACAAGAACAAAATATTGAAAGAACTGAACAAGAATTACAGCAGAGTAATATAGCCTAACGTGTAATAGTTATTTGTGTAACAAGTGCCGTAAGATGAAAATTCCCAGGTGCAGAGTTTACGCACGAGCCCAAGGCGAGTGCGGTAACCGCACCCGGGAATTTCCATCTTTACGCACGGCTTACACACCCTATTTTATGTTGCAAGTGCCTGGAAAGTGGTCTATCATGCACGCGTAGCGTGCGTAATGGGGCACTTTCCATGCACGTGTTGCATAAAAACTCTTTAAATAATAGCTTATTTCTCTATATTGAATATGATATGCAAAATACTGATAGTGATAAGTATAACTATTGGTAATAATTTGTTATTATATATTATACCAATAGAAAATCTCAATTATACGCAATTATCTGGTCTTTTCTTTCATTAAGAATTTGTGGATGGTTGATTAATTACGTCCAATTTTATCACTTATATAGAATTAATTAAATATCTTATTTGTTCGAAGAATACGATATACCTTTATCTTAATCGAAAAGATATATTACGTAGATTAATTTATTATTATTATTTCTCTTTCTAAATGCTTATGGGTGTTTCGAGAAAAGTGAAATTTTGATATATTAATAATTCAAGAATTGTGATATAACACAAATTTAAAAAATGAGATTTAAATGATTTAATTACCGCCAAAATATACATCAGATACTTTTGTAGGATTATTTTATGATTTAATACAATTATACAATCTTCTCAAAATACAGAAAAGAAGATATTAACCCTAGAATCCATGACTGGGGTCGATTTCGACCCCAGGCGAACTTTGAACTACGCTCCTGAGCTATCGAGTGACATTATCGACTCAGGACCTGAACCATAATTCATTTCAACTTTCTAAAAGTAGGGTTATGTCGGGCGCAGCGTTAGTTGTTCGCTAGCAGTGAAGTAGCACAGTCGTAAAGCGGGCGTGGGGTCGATATCGACCCCAGTCGTGACTTGCCGTTTGAGTTTCGTCACGGTAAGCTAATTTTATTTTTTCGCTAGAATCAATATATATCATGTATTATTACGTAATCTGAACATAAATAGTCATAAATATTATTTAAGACGAAATATCACACAATTTAGTCGGTAAAAATCCCGTTGCCTAAGAAGATTGACATTTCGCAGAAAATGGCTGGGCGATATAATGTTTCATTTTTTTCATATTTTTTACTATTTTGTATCAAATAAAAATGAAATAATACTTAAAATACAATTTTTTATGGTTTTTTCATCGACTTTTTCCGTATTTCAACTTTGCGAATTTCTTCATCTTTATAGTCCCAAATAAATATACTTTTTGAACAGAACATAGCGATGACAATTTTTTTCTAATAGTCTAATGTGTCCTCTTTAAAACCCCGTTTGAAATTTTAAAATCGGTTGATTACAAAAAAAGATACAAATTTTTGTTTAAAAAAAGAGGTTTTTGCTGATTTTCTGCGTTTTTCAGTCTTTAAATGGATTTTTCACTAACTAAACTTGAGTAAAATTAAATTTACCGTATACCATTCTCTTC